TATAATTTGTGGTTTTGAAGTGCTTCAAGAATTTTCTTTGAACTAGAGGTTATTTCTAAAAGACATTAACTATTGTCTTCGCATTTGATACCTGATTGAGGAGAATGGATGGACTAAGAGTTGACAAATCTGAACGGCAGTCTTTATTAAGTGAGAAGGGATAAATCAACTTCATTTTTAAGGTCCATAAGTGTCCCAAGAGTGCCACTTGTCACTACAAATCAACCCTCCCTTACGACCTCTTTTAGGAACTCCGGCGTATCCCAAGTGTAGATGCCCTCAATAATTGATAGAGTGAATCTGGTGTGATGCAGCAGAGAAGGTTTGCAGGTAAACTGATTCTGGGGTAAGGTGGAAGTAGGGTTGCAAATATAATCGGTGCACATTCTTCACTCCTGGCACTTGATTCGAAGGAATGAAGAAATTGCTTTTCAAATAAACATCGAGTGGCATTGGTACTGTAGACAAGAGATCGGTAGCGAAACTACATTACCTGAAACTACCTGGTCGTTCTAAAGGGCAACGGGGCAAATCCACGGGGATAAGGACCACGTTGAGCCTTCTGTACGCTTCTAGATTAAACTCCTACTTGAGTTTTCTCTTTTTTTTTNNNTTTTTTTTTCAAGAATGAATTTACATGTCTGTCTTTCCTATCATGTGTGGGTGCTTTGTTGAAAGCCCACTCCTGGGCATCGAAAAATAAGCTTTTCAAATTTTTTGAAACTTTTTAAACTTCTTCAAAAGGCTTTTTCTAATTATTTGTAAAGCCTGTATGAGCTAAGGGAATTTGAGGAAAGTTTCATGTGTTATATCTAGGAGTTGCTCTCTTCTCTCCCATGCTGCAATGTGTGGGCTTAGGCAGCAGTTGAAATTATCGCGGATTGCGGAAATGTTATCGGGTGATATTATCATTGGATACTGACTGCAGTGTGGAGACTTGGCAATATCAGTACTATGAAAGGGAGAAATAAGAGACCTACGGAATGAATGCCGTGAAATATCACCAGACTTCCCTTTTCTTTGAATCAAGCACAATTTTTATCAGACACATGTCACCTCTTAAGAATGGGACGCAGTAAAGTGCAGCAAAGCCTCACTCCGCCTGATTTGAGTGACAGGTACCAGGCTCAGCAATTTCAATGGGCATTTCCTAGGCCGCAACCAATTATTTCATTGTTTGTTATGGTCGCTACGGAGGTTCCGAAAAAGATCCACCGATTTAAGGCTGATAAATGCTGATCAGCGTGTTATAGCTCTCGAAGTCAAGATTCCTCCTTTTCCACGATTTCTCTCATGGGCCATAACACTTGCAGGCATCAGTTTTTGAATGACAAGGTGCACGAACCTGTGCCGTCTGCAGCGATCGGCCTTGCTGCTTCACACGCTTTGTTGACTTTTACTTTGGTCAACGTATCGATTCACTTTTACTAGTTCTGTACCCCACATATTTGATTTCCTCGATCTGATGCCTCTTTGCTCTTTAAAAAGTCCCACATATCGAACCTGGTTCATGAATTATTTCACTGAGACCTGCACTTAGCTCAACTTTATGGTGTTCTCTTGACAGAAATGCTTCGATAGTCCACATAGAACGAGAATTAACACTGTAGGTAGAGCAAAGATGAAGAGCTGCTCTTCTGAAAGCACCTACCATACCAGTTCTCCCTTAGTTGTGGACAATTTGTGAGGTTCTAGGGCTTCGAACGCTTCCAAATTATTCCCCTTTCCCATAAACCTTGAGATAGCAGAGCGAATGGGCTGCCCTTCCTAAACTAATTCTATCATTTGGAGGAGGATACATCACGAATTCATTCTCTGATCAGTCAATCACTGGAAGAATCACCTTTAAAGAATGTTTTTTGGGCATGATATATGTACTGAGTACAACTTCAAAAAGTACAAAAGTGCAGTATTGGCAAGTATTGGTGCTACCTATAACGGCGTGCATCAATATCTGAATAATTCCTACCCAGCCAGTTGGGTCCTCTTTCCTTCCCGGGACGTATAACTCCTAATTCAAATAGGTCGGGAGATGGAACCGGCTTGTATAGCCGCTTCGGACATGGAGGCAGCCTTTTGTAGAAGTTGATGACATGGCGCATTCCAACGAGGAAGTTAATCTTTTGGTCTGACAGTCACCTGTTTTCTGTGACGTATGTGCGTGTTTGTATGGACATTGTAATTATGCTTGTATTGGCTTCAGTAATTTTCTTTCGCAACAGCTAACACTTTGCTACAAGACCCTTCTCACGTGGGCATCGTTGCCATGCGAACATATTGCTTTTGTCGCCAGTTTTCACATCTAAACAAGAAGTTTTTCAACCATAACAAACATTCTACTCGCTCTGAAATCGATAGTTTTTACATTTAATCGGGCTGCAGCAATCGTTGAAGTTTTGCCGGTGGATCACAACCTCCAACGGAACTCACATACCGATCATTTCCTATCGTACTTAACAATTATCGTCTTCCGCGTTCCTGGGAGTGGCTATTATTAGCAGTGATTGATAGTTTCAGAAGCTTCTAAGTCTGTACTTTACCTAATAAGCGGTACACGATTCGTTCCAGCTGCAGTAGAGAGTAAAGCTATGTGACACTTGTTTACTGAAGCACTTGCTCACATTACGTCATGATGGCCTTCTTCAAATCTTTCTGGACCGCGCCATGCACTCGTCACATCACCCATTTAATCGTTCTTTCTTTGTAAAATTGATCTGTGGAATCGACTCATTCCTTTTGGGATTACATTTTCTTCCGTTTTTTGGGATCACAGAGCTACAAGAGCTCATTAGAGCCACTTTCGAAATGGGATTCATTACCTCAGCATTTTAGAGTCCTTCTCCTTGAACATTATCAGATGGACAGAGCATATAGCTAACGAAACATTCTTTGTTCAGTAATGGTTAATAGCTTTATTATAGAAGAAAAGGTAACAAGTATGACGAGAGTAATGTCCTTGGCCAAATCAGAAGGGAGCGTCGNGTCGGTGATTTTCCATGATTTTCATATCGTTCCTAAGAAAGAAAACCCTTTCGACAGATTTTGTCCTTGGTTTCTGTGCTTCAACATGCTTTGAGGTGAGGATGATCGCTTTCCGTGGCAACCTCAGAGAATTCCTTTATCATTGTCAAGGTGTCGATAGGGTTGAAGCTGTTCAAATGCTCAAGCTCTGTTCACAAAAACGTTCATTTAAAAAAAAGGTAGAAATTTTGTTTTCATTCAATCGATATACGTTTCTTGGAAAGTGAAAATTCCAAGAGGATCGATAGGTGAGAATAGTCTCAGAAAAACCGGCTCGTCGCGATTTAATTGAACAACGTTCCCAACTCGCTCTCGCTTTTTTCGCTTATCCTTATTGCTAGTGCTTCCTTTAATTGCCTCCTTTCAGTTTCCCTCAACACACTGCCGGTATGATTTTCCGGCTCTCTATTACACTTTTATGGCTTCTTCCTGTGAGCATGGCAATAAACTGTTACCGGGGTGAGTTTAATTTTTTTGAAACTTATGTGGTTTGCTTCGGATGGGTTTTTTGGAAACGCCCCGTGTCCTGCTTGTTTGCAGAATCACAGAGCCATCTGGATGCTTGTGGCTTATACGAGTAGTGCAGAGGGTCAGAGATTGCTCCTGCTGAGGTTCAGATCTTCTCCCCAAGCGTATTTGATGGTATAAAGACGACAACAGAGCGCACAGAGCCGTTTGTTTAACTATGGCCCAATCAAATAGGACTTCAAACGAAAAAACATTTTCAAATTCAACATATCATCCAAAACGACCCCCTGAGCTCTTTCGCAAATAGAGCCCCTTTTTTCTTGGCCACCAGCAAATACGATCACTGCCATGGAACTTTCCACCAAAGCTTGACCCGAGATTAATGGAATTTTCCCCCTCAAAGTTTTGAAATAAGCATTCTAGTTTAGAAGGCTATTTAGGAGTAATTTCACCTCAAAGATACTTATGATAGGAGATTATCAATCATCCGACACTTGTCGCGAGGGTTAGGTACCAGAACAACCCAATGTCCCAGCCTGGATCGAACAAGGGGCTTTCTCTTCTGGATATGTTTCTTACCCATTAAGCTACAGAAATCAGACGGACATTTTTTGTATCATTCCATTTGTCAGAACCAGTTTCATAGACATTCCTAAAGCTTATTGTTTAGGTGCCATCTACAACAGTACGGCTAAACCAACAGAACAAATTACGTGTCAAATGATCAACTACTGTACAAAGTACTGTTTTTTAATATTTACGACATCATATTTTTCCCAGAAAAACAGAAGATGGCTTTGAACTTATTGAAGTATTTTTCAGAATCACAGCTGTTTTGCCTGTCTCACTGGCTACGTATGGTTGCGATCAATCAGCAGCATTATGTAAGGTAATAAGAAGTTACAGAGACATTACTGCTTACTTAATTACTGTACTCGCGTAGGAGAAGTTGATAGAGTCCCTTATTTCTCGGTCCGTTCCAACTTCACCACACATTCGGATTATCCTCGAACTGGATAAGAGGGCATTCTTTCGCGCTAATCAATCCCGTCTGAGGTTTGCGCCCCACATACGACTTCTGTTCGAAATCGTAGGGGCGTTTGAGTGCGGTGTGTGACCTATACAATGAATTGGGGTGGCCAGACAATGTACAAGTCAGGACTTTCCCTCCGCCCTAGACTGCTCTGGTGCCTATTAAACGGGGTTAGGTTACCTTGATCAAGTACCGATTTGAGATTCGAACAGTGGTAGGGTGCTCCTACTGCTACTACACCATGTCCACCCTGAAAATATGCAGACTACGGCACTCTATCAACGTGGTCCATTTCAGATTAATGGCTGTTACGACAATCAAAATGGCGGATTAACCTGCTGTTGCAGTACAGACCTCTGTAATACCTCAAACAACAATCTACCTGTATATCTTTCCGCAGCTTTCTTGATTTTGTACCTCATTTTTTAATAATTTCTCAAAATTTCCGAGCTTGTACATATCATTTTATTCTCAATATTTAATTTGTAATAACATTGTAAACTGTAAACTTGTATGCACAATATTTTGTTTTTTGCGGATATAAATCACATAGGAATCAACAGAACATACTAAATATCACTTGAAAGAATTGAAGGAAACAGAAGGCAACATTGGCAACGAACTCCATTGTCCGTTACAGAACTCGTAAACAAAAATTGAATGGAATGTGTTTGTATCAAATTTAGCAAAGCCATGGAATAAATTGTCATAAAAAAAGGCATGGGACTGGCTAAGGCACCGGACGAAAAGCTCTGGCTATTCATATGAACTCGTGAAAGCTTTTCCCAACTAAAAACTCTTTAAAGGCACAGTTCACGATAATTTTGAGGTGCCCTTTTTAGGTTGAACATCGGTGGCGAAAAAAGCGAGAAAATTCGCCTACTTTAAGCTCTTTAGAAGTAGTGGAAGTGAAATTTGTACGAGATGACCGCCTTAGGAATGGCATATAAGGGGTTTTTGGACGAGATATAAGTTGCTTTTATCGTGCAGGGAGCTTACTCATCAAACCATAACTGTACAGAATTGCCTTTCACTGTCGCTATGGGTCATGGCAAGTTGTTTTAACTTCCTACATTGGTCCTTTATGAATGCTGCAGCCTCTACAAAGCTGCTGAAACTCGTCCAGTAGGGGGGTGTGGCATTCACACGATAAAATCTCTGGCCCCTTATTGTGCCCTATCCATGATGTTTTTCGACCTTATAACGACAGGTATGGTACAAGGGGAGCCTCGAACTCATACTATAAAAAAATCTCAGAAACGAATTTTTTCGTGAACTGTGTCTTTAAAGGAAGAGCCATTTGGTTCCCGATGAACAAAAAAAGAGATCAGATGTCTGCCAATGAATTACCACTTGGCAAATTTGCGCGGATTTTCTCACGTTTAGGTGGAAGATTCTCTGGTAATGGTTTTCCCTTTGTTTCTGGTATTACCAGCTGATAGAACATTGTATCGAGAGCGGCCATAGCAGTAAGTACAATGTACGGAAGTGAATCCCATGAGCTCTGAAACTGACAGATTTTCTAATAACTCAGTAATAGACATAAACTCATAAGGCCACAAAAACTCGCTTATTTTTAGAGGTTTCTTCCAAAAAAATGGAAATGGTAGTTGTTTAAAGTCGAAAAGTTCACTTACCACAATGAAAAGCTGAGGTGCAAGAATAGTACCAAGACGACTGCATGTTGATTTGAATGCCAGCCCAGAATTTCGAACCACAGTAGGATAGTATTCGATGGCCGAGATCGTTTTTGTAATGAAAATCTGAAGGTGCATTCGAAGTCAGTTTTTTCTTTCTCTATGAATGAAGCGCAAAATTGAGAGCCTACTATCAAACTCGAAAAATACGGAAACATTGAATGTGTACTCAAGCTGGTCAAGTCAAAGAAAAATGCAACTCTCACAAAAAGTGTAGAAAGGCTTCGAAAAATGGAAAAGAAGAAATTAAAAATCAATTTATACGGCTGACTTCTCCTTGTTTCCCTCTGCAAGTAGAAGTTTTACTTCCTTTTATGGAATCCTCTTTTTGTAAGGTGATTAAATGAGAAAGTGTATTTAGTGAGGCGTAATCATATGGAGCTAGAGTATCTGTTACTTACTTGTGAGGTAGTTGCCGCAGCGAAAATTGTCGCAACCCTGATGACTGACGTATACGTCACCTCGAGATCTTGAATAGAAATATTGAAAATCAGCCAGAGACTGGCTAAAAATAATTTCTAATAGGTAAACCTCACCCAAAAGATAGGTTATAGCGATGGCTCCAAGAGCTACGGCTATTGAAGCTTGGGAGACAAGATGAACGGCTTTACGACCGCATGCCTTCCACCTGAAGAACAATACGAGCAATTTCCGTTTTCAAAAATTGCCAATCCACATGAAATAAATAAAGACGAAATCCTAAACAGGCAATTGGGAACAGAAATCAAGAGGTTGCCAGAAAGCGGGCAAGGCGCTAATGCACCGATAACCTCGCGCTTGCACGACTTTTTTATTGGGGGCGAGTATGATACTGGAAAATACTGCGGCGAATGGCCCAGTACTTATGTAAGTTTTCCCGAAGTGTTCAGGATGAAACCAGCTTCCCTACAAGGACGGAGGCGTGGTACTGGCAAATGGTGTACACCACCACTCATACACCCAATTACACCCAATACCAAACCCCTAAATTCTATCCCAGATCGACACCCGCCACAGCCAATGAAGACTTCTATCTCTCCAGTGTCAGTCAGTTGGTACCAAACCTATCTGGGAGGATAACTTTCTGACTTGTACAACTGTACAACGAAAGTCACGGTATACTCGGATTCGCATACAGAATGCCACTACGATCCTGAATGGGAGTGCGGAGCTAATCTCAGACGGGATAAATTGACTCAGACGTCAGAATTCCTCCTCAGAAAACACGGACTCACTTGAAGTCCAAGACACCAAAAGCAATGTTGATGCTCCATCGTATGAATCCCATCAAAATAGAATTGACGAAGAACGATCCAGATAGTGTTTCAATGTTGAAGATTAGTCCATAATTGATCATACTCGACATGAATCTGCAAAAAAGACGAGTGCTCGTTTCTACAAGAAACTCTTCTACAAAGCTAATTCTTTGCCTTAATTCAATTTTTCTCTACAGTTTTCCATTAGCATTTTTACAATGGCTCCAGCTTTAGAGCTAGGGATGAAATATCATGAGTATCGACATAAGCATGGCTTACACTCCACCGCAGAACACAAGCGTGGCCAACGTCATCTCTTTATTGTAGAACAGATGTCGTACATTGTAGTTTTTCATTTTCTTCTCACGTAATTGCAATTCCTAGAAAAATGACAACGCCTTCGCTTTATTTTCAGAAAAGAATTGATTTTTCACAAAATTAGATGCACTGAAGCCATATATCCCTTTCTCATCCTCACAAACCTGATGAGCAATGTCGAGCATCTTTTCCATTTCCTCTTTTTTTGATTCTTTTTGACGATCAATGTGTTGAATACGTTGAAGAACATGACGAGCTTCCTTTATCTTTCCTTTTTGGATAAGCCATCGAGGTGATTCATGAACAAAACTGAAAAGATGAAAAGATCGCTAAAGATCCACAAACAAATCATTGTATCTACACTTTTAGACAAATCTGTCACAATTGAAGTGGATCAAGAGCAATATTTATTGGACCACTAAGTTTCCTAATTTTATATTGTACATTTTGAAAAATAAAGAAAAAAACTTACAGAAACAATAATATAGCTGGTGAACTGATGATGACCAATACTCGTTGAAATGTCCGCCAATCATGTGAGAAATAAGCGACGACGTTGAGCATTATGAAATTCGGAGCCCAAGCGATTACGGTAGCCACCCAGAATCTGTGTCTTTTAGGGATGTGCTCCATTTTGTATACTCCATAGGTTCTGGAAACGTGAAAAATTCTCAAAAAGAGGTTCTTAAGAAAAGGGCCATTCTGAACTAGTCAGATACTGCTACTCGACCACGACACCAGTGGTTTTCGCATTTTATAAGCCTTTTGTATTACAGATCATCACCATCCCTTCAGATTCCACATCACACACCAAAGTGTCTATGTTTCAGAGTCCCACAAAGATTGGAGGAAACCAGTAACCCCTGCCTTCTATAACCTCTTATCAGCCATTATCAACTGTCATCAGCTCATATCAGCAACAACCTTCGACCCGCCGCATTCCACATCCCGCACCCCAGTGCAAAGACTTTTCTGTGAAGAAGAAGAACATAAAAGATTCAACTGCTTCTGGCCTTTAATAGTCCGCTATCAGTTGTAATTAGTTCCTGTCATCAGTTATCTACGAGTGCGTCACACCACATCCAACGATCTATCGCGATTTTACCGATAGCACAGAGGCCGTAAGATACCCGGTGAATCTGTATTCTAGAACTTCTTGCCTACTCTACTCTAAATGAAAAATTGGTCTTTCATCGTCCACTGTTAGTATGGGAATCGGTGAGGTTCAATGAAATCTTCCTAACTATGTCGGTAGATCCCAGAGATGCACTGGTTTCGAAAGAAGCACGGATTGCTGCTCCGTTCGAAACCTGTGCATCCTTGAGGTCTACCTTTGCACAGCTTGCTGTCATTCGGATGAAGTAAGAACAGGTACAGAACTCACCCCAAAAGTCCTCCACTGAAGAAGCCAAGAATGCTGCGTAGAACTGTGAAGGCAACAAGTGAATTCGAGAACGATGCTGCGATACTGAACACTGATGTCATGACGTACGAAATAAGGAGGCTCTGAAAAAGAGTAAAAAAATAAGGAAAAAGTTATCAACAGGCAACAAATCCGATTTAAGTGAACACCGTGGTTTTCATGCTAATGGTCGGATGACATGGGATTTCCAGTTATTTGCTGAAATCTGCCCATAGCAACAACTGCAAGTTGTTTTGATATTCCACAAGAAACCGTTGATGGTAAGGGGCATAGTGCATAAATAGACCATTCAGGCAATCTCTGCACTCATTGCTGCTTATCCCCACTTTTTAGAACACTCCCTAAGTTCCTGAAGCCCTCCAAGCTAGCGTTTGACAGACAGTCCCATTGTTTGTCAGGGGAAGAGTTCTCTACAGCTTCTTGGCCTTGCCTGGTGTAATATCCCTGGAATGCTGGCTCACACATTCAGATTCAACTAGACATGGGAATTCACAACCGCAGTTCTTTGGATTGGTTTCATTGTCTCATTTCGAATGGACAGTGGATAAATTGTAGCTGTACAACTTACCGATTTTCTGCCATATCGATCACTCATTGTGCCAAAGAATAGGGTACCTATCAAAACGCCAACCATTTGTACCGAGATACTACTCTTCACCCATCGTCCTTCAGCACATAGATAGCCAAACTGAAAAATCATTTTTCAAGCTCTTTTCGTTGCGAAACTGCAGTTTACAAAGTCTAACCTCAACATTGAGCGATTTGAACTCGTAGTTCACTTCCAAATCACAATCAGTTAACTTGTTTGGGTCTAGATGGCTCTTGCAAACGTCTTTGATTGTAAAATTCGATCCATGACAAGATACTCGGGGAGCACTACCTGGAAGCGAGGCCATCTCTTGAAAAATCACACACATGAATGTGATCAAGCGCCACTCACCAGCAAATACCATAAAAATCATATTCCCTGCTCCAACCAGTAGAAAAAATTCTGAGATCAGTAATATTAAATAGCAATAGTTGCTCATTTTCAAGAAGTCGTCGACACATTTCATTGGACTCTGATCAACCGCCGCTTCTTCTTTACCATCTTCAACCGGTACAGTAGTGTACTCTTTTTCGGTTGTCATCCCTACAACATAATGACGATCGCAATGATAATATTGCTGAGAAGGATCTATCCGTATAGCGATGACAATCACGAAAGGGAATGAATGAAACGCGGAGAGAAAAAGCGACTCTGTCGAAGAACTAGCTTCCTAAAAGTGATAGCTCAGAGGCCTCTGTGAAATTAACTGGGCAGCAGCAAAGGGCGATATGCTGACATAGGCAGTAGCCCACCATCGCACACTCACGGTCAGGGAATGAATACGAGTCGATACCGGCCAAGGCTAAAAAGTCTTTCACTCTCCGGAGTGAGTTCATAGAAACCAGACTCGGGGGAGATAAAAGCCCCGTCTTGTACCTTGGTTTGCTGTCACAATTCAATGGCCCATGCAGACTCAAAACGTCACTATGATTCCGAACGGAAGTGTAATGCGAGGCGCATCTCAGGGATGGTAATGATTATTGCTAAAATTCCATCATTTATCCTTCACCATCCAAGACTAAAAATGACCGAGAGAGCGGCTCACTGAGGCAGTTTCTTCGGACTCCATTCTCTTCGGTACCACGAAAGCAATGAGAAAATTTAAGTGGAAGGCAGTATGTATTTGAAAAGGAGAGGATCACATTTGTTAGAAAATGGAAGGATTGTATTTTCTAAAATAGTAAATGTGGTCCCCTCAGAGCGGTGCTCAAAAGTCGCGATCACTGGTTCTACAAATTCATACGAGTAACGAAAATTCATCAATCCTGCCCCTCCACTGAGAGGTTTCACTGTTTACGATCCTTTGCGAGTGCCAGAGAGAGAGTTCCTTTTTAAGCGAAGGAAGGGTTCTGAACGCGTAGTTTATCGATTCTACCGTAATCTTCAGATCTGAAGAACCAACAGGCTCTGAATGATCATGCGCAAAGATTACTGTATGGGATCAGTCTCTGCTTTGAGCTACGTCGACAAGTCTGCCACAGTACCAAGCTTTCAACCACTTTAAGAACGGCCTATTTATGGCTATATGATAGCGACAAATATTTTTCCCATTAGGGAACAGGAAACATAGTCAGCCACAACACAGATGTACTGAATAAATAAATATGTACTAAAACCTCTAACTAGTTCGGCGAGTTATGGACAGAACTGGAGGTTCGAGTCCCGTCCGAGACCGAAGATCTGTCTACAACTCGCCAACTTAGTGAAACTTTCGGATCGTGCACTGCGGAGAAATAACATGACTTGATAAAAAACATCATTTTGAAACTGTGACCTCTACCTCTCAAAATCACGATGTGTGTTTACAAAGAATTACAACATTTGCTTGCCCATAGCTTTTCCTGGAAGCCTTGACGCCAAGTAAGAATGGGAAGCGTCTGAGGTATGAAAGTTCCCAACAGATTCGGAGAATTTTTGGAAAGGCTGATCGAATAATTTTTATGGGATAAAATCGAGGAAAACATTGAAGGTCAATGAAAACGAAACAGAAAAGGAGTACGAATCGAGTGAGACACGTGTATGAACGTTCATGGAGCTACAGCTTACATCGAGGAAATCTTCTTTGATGAAGCCCTTCAGGGAGATAACTTCCTGGTATTATACTATTCCAAGCATCGACAATCTACAACAACCGTTAACTACTCTGTCGATCTACGAAACCTGAGTAATCGACAACACGTATGTAGTGGACGACGACGTTTTCAACTATGGATTCGATGATTTCACAAAAGATAAGGGTATAGTATGGAGCGATAGTAAGGAGAGTCTGGTCACGCAGAAATGACACCAAACATCGTTGGATGCTAAGCTGTCCTGTTCAGCCTTTATGGGGGCATGTGCTTGTTGATGTTTACTCGAAGAGTTCCTTGAAATGGTATGAGTCATGGAATTCTGCCTGAACTGCACTTGTTTGTACCCGGTAGGGGTCAACAATAAGCTCTAAAATCAACATAATTCTGGTCGAAATTTCAAAAAAATCAGCCCAAGGAATGATTGTTTACTTCATCTAATCGGAACCAGCTAAAATTGTCAGAGATATTCCTTTTGTTAAGCAGCGATTCTATCGCCTCCCCAATGTTATCTAGAGGTAGCGCTTTGAAATACCCATGTATGTATTTTCCCCCAGAAGTGCTTTCCCGCTTGCCCCGGCTTTACCTCGATCAAATTATGTTGTAAACGTGGATCACTGCCCCGTCGGTCTACTACTCCCAAGGACTAACAGCTTCCTTCAGCGGAAAAGGGCTTCTATCATCTGTTTATCCACAAATTCGGGTTCCTCTTTTAACACTGAGCCCTCTTCACGAGCATCACATCAGATGACATGTCTTACAGCTGTTCTACAAGCTGTTCTGCAAGAATCACTTTCGTCTTCCTAGCGTGGTTCATTATAGGTTCTATTACGAAAATGAGGTGTACTGTAGTGTCGTGTTTCGGGTCCAATAACAATAAATCCCCTAAATTATAATACAAAATTTTCAGGATAGAATCATGAAATTCAAACTGAGAGGGCGGACAAGAGAACCTTTGAAGACAGCGCAAAGATTGGTCTACAGCGATCTTTTTGATATGGGTTCCATGCGCATTGTTTTCTATAAGCATAGAGTGGTTGTTCAGCGAAGAGACCACGAAAACCGGCTGAACGTCCATCGTCGGTTTCCGCGGTGCACCATGACAGTATGGACAACATCGCGCTCTTCAGAGAATACCATCTCCAAAGGTCGACTAAATGGAACAACCATTGCGATATAATCAATATAACCAACGATTAGGAGTGAAACTTTTCTTAGTGGAAGTTTCATAAAACCTTTGAACGCAAAATGCAAAAAAAAACTTGCAAAAAAAGCAAAAAAGTGTGCCATGAATGTGCCGTTAAAATCGAAATAGTGAAGCTGTTGTCATGGCATAGGTATTGCAGTACTATCGACATTGTTGTACCCCGGTATCTTGTAGATGACAATGTTGAATTCTCCATCTCAAGGCTAAAGGGCATTCAGCTCAGGACTTTACCTCCGTTAGTTTACCTTAACTCATTTTTTGGACGTCGCGGCATAAATAAAAGGTGGTCTGCTGGGCTAAACTATCCAGCCCTCTCATTCATGTTCTTTGACAGTTCTCTTTCTATGAAGTTCTCTTTCTTCATCTCAATAGTCCTTCTGCTTCTGTCTGTCCCATTTCCATTATTTCTAGCCAAAGGTGTGTTCTGCCCTCTTGCCCCTCCCATTTCTCACTTGTGACATCATCATCTCGACTTCCCATTCACTTTCATACCTCTGAATTTTTTATCTCTGAGGACTCTGCATTATCCTGCACAAAGGCTAATAGGATGAGATTCACTAGATCACTTGAAGAGGTTATCATAAGTAGCTCCAATTAATTCGTACAAGAACTCACCCAAAACTTTCTGCTTCTGGACCCAAGCTTCTATAAAATAATTACCAAAGCTCGCTCCCCAGGCAGAGAAAAGAAAACATCATCAAGGAACTTTGCAAGTTTTAAAAATTTTCACCATCCAAGGGAAAAAGGGAGACCAAAAAGTTTACTGCGGTTTTAGGTAGGAATTTGTGTATTTAATCATCGCTCACCCTAACTAGAACAGGTGCAGGAATGTTGAAAAAACAGAGTGGGTGGTAGGTAGGTGAGACCTATGCGTATCAGCAGGAACAACAGCCTGCGACATGAAATCGAATGAGGAGTTGAAATTCGTCATGAATTTGGTGGACAGGAAAAGTCAAGAACTCAGCGAGTTTATGAGACCATCAACGAAGTGAGATTGTCCTTTATGAGATGATAGGCAAAGAAGATTTGCGGTGAGTCGCTGCGAAACCAAGGAAACAGCGGCTTTAAACGTGAAACCGCCTCTGTCCCGCCTCAGTTCGGCAAGCTTCTCTTGTCCTCGGCTCATCGATGACTCATGTAAGTGCCGCCACATTGTCTACTTGAAGTTCTTCTGTAAAGTATTTACAGCACTCTCTCCCTGTTAGCCGAACTCTGGGCAGTATTCAATGGGGGCTTCGCTACAGGCAGAATCGGTCACGGGAGGAAATCTTGATTCGGTGGCTTCACAAGCGCTGATCTCGTCTTCATCGTCCCTCCCCCGGAGCTGCGTACACCTTAGGGAGTGATTACTACACAGGTACTCTGCCAAGGTGCTAGTTGGACATAAGTCTGGGCGAAAGAGTTGTCAAATAGAGACCGAAAATATTGGGCAATGGTCATATCTCATAGGACAGTTGGGCCATGCAGACAAACTCCCTCAAAATCGTAAAAGGTTTTGAATGGGCAGTGCTTTATCCATTCCGGCTTACGGTTAGCCAGTGTTTGATTCGATCTCCATTTCAATTCCAGTTCCAGTTTAGTTCAATGATTTATTGTCTTTTAGGGGACGAAAGTCAGAAGAGTTGCAGGAAATGAAGGGAGGCACGATTTGAGAGCTCTGAATCAATTGCTTTAACAAATGATGAAATTCGACTGCTAAACAAAAAAAGGCAAGGGTCCTGTAACTCATTGCAGTCATCTGACAATGGCTAAATTTTGTGAAGCTGGAGGCAAACTGCGGATGGACATACAGCGGCTACCCAAGAAAGCGGCTCAAAGTGGAGTTATGAAATATTTTCAATAACCTAGAGGAAACGAAATTTCGAGAAGTAATTTCAACACGAATCAATCAAAAGCAATCAAATCAATCAATTAACGCGAAAACTAATTGAAGAACAGAGCTAGAAATTGGTCTAGGCAATGGCCTATATTCAACAGAAAAGACTTCATTAGCAGTACCAGCTGTGTTGTCGACGTTGTTAATGTCCGTATCACCTGTTGCCTAGGCTAAAAAAGCACTTGATTGGAGGGCGGTTCTGCTTCAACGGCAGAATGAAAGATGAGGTCCGATGCTTTGCAAAGGAGCTGGAAACGAGCTGTGGTATGACAGGAACATTGTAAAACTGCCACTGCAACTCCAAAAATGCATCGCTTTACCGGAAAAAGTAGCTACGTAAGCAGGCGGGGGCAGTGGGGACAGTTGGCTACTTCAAACTGATATGGAAA